TCTGTGATGGATGTTACTCCAAGGAAGCATAGTAAAAATGTAACACTGAACTAACATACTGGCAAACCTTACTAGTGAGCAAATCAAAGTACTATATATTAGCCCAGAAGAAATATAGTTTTAACGTGTACTGTATTTATGGGATAAAGTCAGAGATAGAGCATATATAAATATAAAATTGAACATTGATGTCAAGACATTTTGTTCAAATTGTTGATCATGCTAGATAAAATGAACTTTCCCAGAAACTGTAACTAAGGTCTGCTCAGCATAGTTGCAGTATAAACCACCACAGATGGGCTCTGTGGGTGTTGAATAAACACAAGCATCTGAGCAAGTGTCTGCAATAGGGATTGGCTAGTCTCCCTAGTAGATGAGTCGCCAGCTACACATACATACATACATACATACATATATATATATATTAGGCATTAATCTTTCTTGTTCCATTGAATGTAATGTACAAGGAAAATTTTATAAATTTTTTATTCAGTTTTTAAATTTTTTCTTACAGTTTTTCTTTCATGAGAACTTTCTACGCTTTTTCAATTCTTATAAAAGAAAACCTTAAAAAACTAAATAAAAACATATAAAATGCTCACATTCAATGAAGCACACACACATATATATATATATATATATATATGTGTGTGTGTGTGTGCGTTGGTAATTTTATATATGTGGATTTTTTGCTTTAAATATTTACTCTGTTGCATAATTTAGGTTAAAGAATATTGTATTTCATTCTTGAATTGAGGAAGCCTTTATGAATTAACATTCCACTGATATGAAACAAACTTGTAAATCTGTCTCAGTATCAGACAAATTCTTGTCTTTTCTATTTATTTTAAATTCTACTAAGCAACTGAATGGTTCTAAAAGTAAATAATTCTATATCCAATGCAGGCAAGCTAGAAAAAAATGTAAATTAAAATTACGACTAGCCCAGCAAGTGTGCTGGACAAAGACAATTAACTGTTTTATCTGTCCAAAGTAGAAAAAGCTAAGAATGTTAATTAAATTAATTATGGTTATTTAATATCATTTAATACTTAAAGCTATTATTTAATACCATTTAAAAGTTTTGATATTTAGTGTTATGGCAAATTTCCATTATATACAAGGTTGGGTTGCCAACTTTGTCTAGTTATAATGAAAGACATAAAGTAAAAAAAAAAATATATAAATTCAAAGATTCTGCAATATAATCAGTCCTGACCTGGCATTTTCAGTCTCTTTCTCACTGATGTGACATGGCTTCCCTCTGTTTGTTCAACAAATATTTTCATGGCAGCAGTTCTGATGAGCTTTTTTTCCTTAGGGCCTTGACAACATGAATTTAAGTGGTAATTTAAGTTCATTGTCAGTCAGTGCCAATATTTAAATTCCAAGATCAAACGTTTAAAATGATTGGAATTATATTTAATGGCTAGCCACTTTTTTCGCAGTATCAGTCAGTCAGTTATATGCGTGATACACACATAGGCAATTATGTATCTTTCGATACATGACTGATGAGGCAGATTTTTTCCCGCAGTAGGCTGCCATTTCCTTCTGCAGTAGACCAGTTGCCATCCAAGGCTATAGAACCTGGTCTGTCCTGATATTTACCTATAACTGGGGAGAGAAGAAGAAGATTCATACCTTTCCCAAGGGTATTAGCACGTAAATGAATGTAATGGATTCAAATGGAATTCAAACTTGGTTCTCTGATTCCTCAATCTGAGCCGCTATCCATTACTCCACCATGCCTCCAGTATGCCCATCTGTAAAGGTAGTTACCCATTCCCTGTTTCAGATGCCTGCTCAGGCATATTTGTGTTTGTCCAGCACCCACAGAGCCAGTCTGTGGTTTATACTGTAACATTCTTGAACAGACCTTCCTTACAGTTTCTACGAGAAGGTGTGTAATCTTGTGTGATCAACTATTTGAACAAAGCCCGTGGCATCAAACCATTGGTCATGATTTTTGTTTTTTCTTTCACAACTTGGAAGTAATTATCAGTAATTAGAAGATGAAGAAAAAGGTAAAGTTTAGCATAAGACCAGGCAAAAATGGTGTGTCAAAAGCATGTTTTTCTCTTGATGCCACTATTACTGTATATTTGAAATAAATTCGGAAAAAATGCGTTTTCCAGACATTTCTTTCATTTGCTCTCACCACAAAAATTCACTAAAATAAATGCAATGAGAAAAGTACACAGGTGTAGGCTTTAAGAAAGCTTTATTCAACTGAGAATACAAGGTTTGTGTACAGTGTCCTTTTACAGTCCAGTAAAAAGAAATAACTCTCTCAAAGAGGAGAGTAAAAAAAATCAAGGGGAGACCACTCTTGATTATTCATAATAATAGGTTAAAAGCATTCCTTCCTCTGAACCAAACATTCTTTTAATTTTAGATTTTAGACAAGACCACAAATAATTAATATTTTTTGTCTATTTCCCCTTTTACTAGGTGAACAAATTTTCCCTTGTGTATAATTACAGAAGGTCTAATTTTTACAGCGTATTTGGTGGGTTGGTATGTCCACACTATGATGGCCAACCATCTGAAATTATGAGTTCCTGATAAAAAAAACTTTCTAAAAATTATTTGTTTTAATTTTACAAGGAGGTTTCAATTTGGTATCTTCAAAATGTAATTGTCCATTTTATAATCAATGTAAATTAATAATGAAATGTACTCTGCTTTGAAAATTAAAACAAAATATAATCTGAGGCAGTTATTATTAATTATAGTAAAAAACAAAAATTCAGGTTTGCATGTTGTGGTTTTATTAAAATACTAAAAATAACTTTTCAAAGCCATATTTATTAGGGGAAAATTAAATAAAATCAATAAATGAAATAATAATGAATAAAACAAAAACAAGAAGAAATACATTTCCCATGATGCTAGTAGTAAAAGAACTGGAAATATGATTACCTCACTTGGGTTTGTCAAACACCGTTAGGTGGCACTGCTGAAGTCTATAAAAAGACAAGCATTTCCTTCCTATCTCTCTCCCGTTCCAAGGTATAGCAGAACGTGAAAAAAATACATCCCTGCTGGGACACATTTATTTCCCCAGTCTACTGATAACTGAACTCTCTTTCCCATTTTCCAAAGCATGGCATTTGCACATGTCTTCCAAAACTTCCATCTATGAAGTAAATCAACCTTTTCTTTGGTTGTTCCAACTCAGTGCAAGTCTGATTTGAGCCCAGCCATTATAGCAATGCTTAGCTTATACTTACTTACCCTAACTCCTGGACCTAAAAGAGAACTTTATTTCGCTATAGTTTATATATCAAAAAGAGAATAAATGTTAGAAGATAAAAATTGTTCTTTTGACACAGCATTTTTGCCAGGTGTAGCTGACTGCAGGTCTCAATGAAAATAGTTCATGCCTCATATTGATGTTATCCTTTTATTCAAGAAATGCAGTGTGAAAACTAAAACAAATCTTAATAAATAAATAGAAAATTCTGTCTGACCATCTACATGTTTGAAATCCCTTTAACTCAGGCCACACTTGCTCTATATGAACAGATTATAACTTTTTGGGATCAGGATGATCTCAGGATTGATAATCTGCTCTTCATCTGGTGCTTGAACACCCAGCATTGGGATTTGTGTTTGAATGAGGAGGGAACAGTTAAAAATTAAAATTTTAAAATAACCGAAAAAAATTAGTGATTTTAAAATTTTTTCATTTATATTAAGTTTAACGTAACACAAAAACTTTGTGAATTTAACAATTTTTGTTTTAAATTTAGTTTAAAATACCTCCAAAACTTTGTGAATTGAAGAAATCAATTTTATTTCTTCAAAATGCCTAGGAATCTGAGATACAAGGAAAAGTTTCATGGTGTTAGGTTTTGAAGTTCCGCAGAGTTTGTGAAGAACTCAGTTTTTGGCCTGCATTGGAATTTTGGCCCAAATCAGTCTTTTGGCCAGAATTGGACTTATAGCCCGAATCGGAGTTAAAGTGAGGTTTTTAAAGTTCCATGGAGTGAAATGAGGAATTCAAAGTTATTTCTTCAAAATTATCATTGTTGTTTTCTAAGCTGGACCAGAGGTTCCTTTAGTTTTAGGCTGGAGCCCCAATTAGCTCTCTGCAAGATCTAGCTTAAAGCTACACGCGGAGTTTGGCTTTTAAGCTAGTAACAAATATATCTCTCAAAAGTGGAAATAGATAAACAAAATACATTTCAATGAAATACAAAAACACTTTTCAAACAAAAACAATTAGAAATAAATTCAAAATGATACAGGGAACACATGATGAATTTTAAACGTAATATTATGGGAGCGGATAATTACATGTACCTTTCTGACCAACAGACCATAGCTAAAGAACACATGCATTGCCTCAAGAGCCAGGTGTAACTCAAGAAAGAACATGTAATAGCAAGCTTGCAGAATTTAACATTAAACACATGTATGTATTTATGTAATAAATGTCTATTTTTTATCTTTTTAAAAAATATTACAAATTATTTTTATAATTTTAACCCTATTACTACTACCATGCATGTTACTACCAAGTAAAGTCTGGGGACACATATACCAATCTCTTCAGTGACTGCTACATTGGTTACTATGTAACATTACCAAAAACAGAAATGTAATAAAAATCTTTGTCATATTTTTGACAATTCTATAGTTGTGAATTTTTGTAAAGTTTAATCATTTCAAACTTGATTTAAGAGAAATTATGAATTTGTGGGACATATTTGTGTTTATTTGAAGGTGAAAATTGATTGAAAATATTCATGTTTATTTGATAACTCTGAAATGGCACACAGAAGTTCCTCCGCGTCATGATGTCTGAGGTGTTTGATGAGTTTTTGAGAAGTTGAACCAGGTCAAGGATCAGGAGAAGCATTTGGTTTTATTTTAAAAAAATAGCCATCAAATTATGTAAACAAAGAAATTAACTTTGTTTAGTAGTCACTTAAGTATTCTGTATTCTAAGTGTCAATTAAAACAGTCAACAACACTAGGGTATTGTCCGACTAGAAGCAGTATGAGAAGTGGGAAGAGGAGTAAATTTTTGAAGAGGAGAAATCATATAAAAGAGGAAGAGGGACTAAAGTGAAGGAAAGAGAGATGGATATGATTAAGGAGGAGGAATATAGAGAGTGAGAGTTAAGAGGGTGGAATATGAAGAGAAGAAGAAATATAAAGAGAAGGACTTGAAGAATAGGAAAGACTCTAAAATGACTCTAAAAGAGAAAGCATATATAGGAGAGAGATTATGGGAAGGAGGAGGAGGAGAAACATTGCCCTAAACATAAGAAATACAGAGAGGAGGAGTTTAAGAGGAAGAATAGAGAGAGAGAGTTATGAAGAGAAAGAGTATCTGGGATGGTGCTCCGGTTAGATATCTAGAAATTTTTTGACAAAATCCAACAAAGAGTCTGTAATATTGTCACTCCTGACCTGGCATCTCAACTTCAGTCACTTTTCCAACAATGGGACAAGGCTTCTCTCTGTCATTTCTATAAATATTTTCATGGCTCCTGACCTGGCGTCATAACTTCAGTCACTTTTCCACCAATGGGACAAGGCTTCTCTCTGTCATTTCTATAAATTTTTTCATAGCTGTTGTTCTAATGAGCTCTCCTCCTTCATACCCCAACTGCTTGAATTTAAGCATATTACTAGATTGGCTATTAGGTCTCATCATTTTACTGTCAAACTAGCTAGATGCAACTATATCTTCTAACAGTTTCTTTTCTCTCACTTCTCACCTGTGGAAGTCCTTTCTGAATTTTTTCTTCCCTGCCACCTACAATCTTCAAAGATTTAAATGCAACATCAGTCAATATCTTCTGTCCTCCTGAATTCTGTTCTTTTATTGTCCATTCTCCTCACTAAAGCTTTCTCATTTTCTTCCACTCTCAGCAACCCCTTGTGTCTTAATGGCATTATTGACGGTTAATGGTTTTGTTATTGAAATAAACTGTAGAGGTAGATGATAATTGGTCGTTAATATAAGCATTATTTGTATTTATTCAATTTGTATTGGACAAGGCTGCTGTAGAGGGAGGACTTACACTGGTTAGGATGAAGATGTTTAAAGTAAATGGATTCAAAATTTCCAAAAGAAATGAATTTAACAACTCAACTCAAGGATTTTTCTACATATTTATATAAAATGCTTCCAGTTTATTACACTCCTGCCACCTACAATCTTAAAAAATTTAAATACAATGTCAATCATAATATTGTTTCTTCTTGAATCCTGTTCTTTTATTGTCCTTTCTTTTTACTAAAGTCTTCCCTCTCTTTCACTTCCAGTAACTCCTTGTGTTTTAGAGGTGTTATTGCCTTGCTTGGGGTGAAGTGATTAAAATAACTTTTTTTAAACATTTGAAGGAGGAATTGAGGTATAGAAAGAGTATAAAATCTGAAGAAGGTGGAGGAGAAAAACTGAAGAGGAGAAGGAAAAACTATAGTAGGAAACTGTTGTAACCTAGGGAAGGTTACTGAATAGAATAATCAAATAAAGGTTGGTAATGAATGATAATACTTAGGACAAGAACAACACATATAAAATTTTCCAGCAGCGCATAGAAGAAGTAGTCAACTGCTAGAAGTGAGTCAAGTGAATTCCACAATGAATCTCCAACTGCAGACCAACATACAGTATTTACTACTATATTTATGTGAAGGGGGACATACCCATTATCGTCCGTATGCTACAACAGAAACAAAATTGGAGGAAGAAGAGGAAAATAGTTTATACTGGAGGAATGGCAATACCTCCTCAGTGCTATTAGACTCCCTTGTGGTATCTAAGGCCACAGCCTCACAACACTAAGTATTGTGGTTTCCATAGAAAATTTTTACAGGGTAGAGTTGCCATCCCCATGCCCAACAAGTTTTGAATTCATTCTCTCTATGATCAGTAAAGTATCTGTGTCCTATGTGAAAATATACATTTCCCTTATCCAGGTGCTGTTGATTGAAACTGACAAAAAACGGTAGTCACATTTTTCAAACAATTTTTTTTGGTGTCAAATCAAATGCATTACATTAGACAAAAATCCATAAATGAACCATCCCTAGTCAAATTGGAAAGAAGGGTGGGTGTTAGTACTTTCAACTGTTCCATCAGTCATCATAAAGGAGGAAGCAGAGAAAGATGTAAGCTGCTTTTCTATACTTCCTCCCTGTTGATGACCATTGGAACAATCAAAAATATTGGGACTCACTCTTTCAACCAATTTAACTGTGGAAGCGTTATTCATAGATCAAAATAATTACAACCACATCCAAAACTATTATGGATAGGATCAAAACCAACAATACTCATAACAATAATAATTCTGAAGCAGGTATATATAAAATAAGCTGTCATGACTGCTCCTCACAATACATTGGAGAAACTTGCAGAATTTAAAAAAAAAAACATTTACATTATTTACATTGTTCCAACTGTGGTTCTCATTTTTATTATCATATTCACACTTTGGCCTTCTTCAGGTGATTGGAACTTCAAACTGAACCCTTTATTTCATCCACCAGAGTAGATTGTTCTTGTTCAACATGCCATGCCTCTTCTGGATGTCTCAGTCATCTCCCTTTAACTGAACTCTGAGTTTTTGTTCACCACTGCAGTAGCCAGGTATTAAACTCACAACTCTTTGAAATAATAAACAGGGAACATCACTGGAAAATATAAAAAGTTAAGGAATCAGCACCTGAAGAAGGCCGGAGCATACAATGGGCGAAACAACTTACTTATTATAAAACGCAGATTGTGTGTGTGTGTGTCTGTACGTTTATATATTGGATCGGATTTCCTACTTTTTTCAACCGATTTCAACAAAACTTCACAGGACTACGTAAAATTACCTTGCGGTGGTTCTGACAGCACCAAAAATTGGAAAAACACAATTGTTTTTGCACGAAATCAATTTGAAAACACGATTAAGAGGCATTAATGAAAGGGGGACAACTCATATTGAGTTATACTTGTTGTTATCGAGTTATACTTATTATAAAACCCAGGTTGGTTGTGTGTGTATGTGTGTGTGTGCGTGTGTGTGTGTTCATTTATATATGGGATCGGATTTCCTACATTTTTCAACCGATTTCAACAAAACTTCACTTTTTTTTGGCAGGTAGTGTTTCTTATTGTCTTGCACACTTTTTTCTTTATTTTTACATTCAGAATGCTTTAAAAATTCCATTTACAAGACAATTGTTTATAATAAAATTCTATTCAATCGGTAGACTCATAACGATTGAAAACAATGTTTTTGTTTGAGTTTGGGTTTGACCAATTCGTTAAAAAAAAAAAAAAACTAATTAAGACATGCGTGTCCATCAACCTTAAACAATAATCTTTGTCAATTTTATTTTTCAGTGTTTATGATGGTCGATACTTGATCTATCTCTTACTGTTACATCCCCGGGCAACGCCGGGCTCTACTGCTAGTCATGAATATGACAATACAGATGAGGACAACAGTCTAAATAATGTAAATAATTACAATGCCTCATCTCAGAAATATAGACAGATATTAAAATAATGTATCTATGAACATAAAAGGGATCTTATGCACAAAAATTAATCAAATCCATTTGTTATACATAGAAATAAATTCAACCACAACTTTGTTCTAAAGAATGCCACACTTATTAACAGAGAAAGTAATTTACTTAAAAGGAAAATTCTCAAAAGTGCTGCTCTCAAATTTTATTAAAATATAAATCTGCACCCCAGATTTTTTTAAATATCTCCATTCCTGAAAGAATTGCTACTTTGCCAAGCCAACATCTGTGACTATAAAAATGTTAAAAAATGAAAAGAAAACAGCTAAATTCATAACCTTATGTTATTTAAAATATATAAGATAAAATTAATCCCAAACTAAAATTATTTAAATTTTAATTTGCATTAAAAAATATTCAAGAACATCATTTACTCACTTTAATTTATTAGACATTTAATTGTGTTGCTTGACGTTCTCCATAACTTTCTTTGACTTTTCAGCTAATCTGATGAATATTTATGAGTGTTTTTAAATTAAAATTTTTTTAAAAACCAATAACATTTTTGTTCTAGTATATAAATACTTGTTTCAAAATAAAATCCTTGTATTTGCTTTGATAAAGTCCATCAGAGGACAAAATGCATCAGTTAAGTTTTCCTTTTGTCTTTACTCATAGATTTAAATGTAAGGCATATGGTTCAACATGAAAAGGGTGATTAATCCTCATTCATTGTTTATTTCATTCACTTTACATAAAGGAGAATTTGGTGCCTAAGTAAATCTATATATGTATATATATGCCAGGTGTAACAGCAAATTTGTCCAAATCATGCAACAACAAAATTTTCCAATTGTTAGATTAAGCTCTGGACTGTTGTGTCTTAGAAATGATTAAAGATATATTACTGGAATTCTGCGAGGTTTTTATAACACTATTGGATTCTAAACTGAGCACTAAGAATGTATAATTACTCTCTAAGCTTAACAGAAGTATCATGATGAAATAGATCATAAACGAAAATGACATGTTCATCATAAATCAATCATAGCTAAGGATCGGAAACTCATGAAGGATTGAAATAAACTTCATATATATATATATATTATTCCAGGATCATTTTCCAACTTATTCAAGATGATTTTTGCCCTTTCTAACCTTCTAACTTTCTGTCCTGGAGTAACAATGTACTTCACAGGTTTCACATACGATTTCATTTTCAAGTCATTTTTCACTGCTCTTTGGACTTTCATAGGTGAAAATCCTCTCTCACGTGCCAAATGTCTTATGGATTGAATTGGATCTTTTCTAATTGATCTCTTTAGCTCTAAGTTGAAATGATGATCCCTATTCTTGTTGTGACCTCCTGATCCAGTTTTCCTCTCTACTGTTTCCTCATTTTTAAACTTATTCACTGTTCTCTTGATAGTTCTTGAATAGACTTTGAAGATGGAAGCTAGAATATGAATGTTGGTACCATTACAGAAGGCCTGAATTATCTTTTTTCTCT